GGCCTTGGGTGAGACTCTGAGATGTACTGGCTTCCTGTGTGACCCAGCACATTCCCAGATATGATAGCAACAAGGAGAGGCCCCCTTGCTTGAGAAAAACAGAGGAAAGAGTAAAGAGGACTTTGTCTTGAGCTTAGCAGCTCAACCACAATAGAGAAGAGCACTAAGTGGACATTGGCTTGGCTGAGTCCAATGCAAGTCCCCAGTTCCAGGCCTTGGCTCTTGTACAGCATCTCTGGACCTACCTTGGGCTAGAGGGGAGCCCACTAACCTAAAGGGTGAGTCCCAGACCTGGCAGCATTTACCACAAGCCCACCAAAGAGCCCTTAGGCCGTAAGTGAACATTGGAAGTACCCTGGCAGTACTCTTACGGGCCTGTGGTGGTGGTGGTGGTGGTGAACATGAGGAGAGACTCCTCTGCCTGGGGAAAGGAAATAAAAGAGTGGAAAGAACTTCATTTTGTGGCTTGGGTGCCAGCTCAGCCACAGTGGAACAGAGCACCAGGTATATTACTAAGGTTTCCGACTCCAGAGCCTGGCTCCTGAACAGCATCCTGGACCTGTCTAAGGCCTGGTAGAATTTGCTACCCTTAAGGGAAGGACGTAGGCCTGGCTGACTTCACCACGTGTTAATTGTAGAGTCCTAGGGCCTTGAGTGAACACAGCCAGTAGTCAGCTAGTGGTTACAGTTGGCCCCGGGAAAGACCAAGTACTATATTGGTTTTAGGTTCAACAGTTCAGTCCCAGTGGTGGTAGTCACAGTGGTAGTTGTGTAACTTCTTTTCCAGCTCCAGGGATCTCAGCCCAGAGAGAGATCCTCTGTTTAGGAGAAAGTAATTAAAAACAGAAAAACAAAAAAACGAGAGTCTCTGCCTGGTAGTCCAGAGAATTCTTTTGGATTTTATCCCAGATCACCAAGGTCTTGGAAAAACACAGAATAACATAGTAATTGTGGTGTGACCTAAGCATATGTTAAGTAGAAAGACAAAAAGATGAACTGATCCAAATAACTATAACAACTTTTGAAGACATAGATAGCACAGTAAAATATAAACAGAAACAACAACAAGTTAAAAAGTGGGGAGATGAAGTTAAAGTGTAGAGGTTTTATCAGTTTTCTCATTGGCCGTTTATGTAATCAGTATTAAATTATAATCAGTTTTTAAATAATGAGTTATAAGACATTGTCTGCAACCCTCATGGTAACCTCAAATCTAAAAGCACACAACAGATACACAAAAAATAAAAAGCAAGAAATTAAATTATACCACTAGAGAAGATAATCTTCAGCAAAAGGAAGATAGGGAAGGAAGAAAACAAGGAAGAGAAGACCACAAAACAATCAGAAAACAAATAACAAAATGGCAGGAGTAAGTCCTTATTAATAGTAACATTAAATGTAAATAAACTCTCTAATCAAAGGAGAGAGAGTGTGGCTAAATGGGTGGAAGAGCAAGGCCAAATGATCTGTTGCCTACAGGAAACACACCTCACCTATAAAGGCACACAAAGACTGAAGACAAAAGGGATGTGAAAAGATACTCCAAGCTAATGGAAACCAAAAAGAGCAAGAGTAGCTCTACTAATACCAGACAAAATAGATTTCAAGACAAAAACCATAAAAAAGAGACAAAGGGAGTTATATAGTGATAAAGGTATCGATTAACCAAGAGGATATAACTGAAAAATACATAGGCAGCCAACATTGAAGTGCCCATATATAGAGAGCAAATATTATTGGAGCTGAAGAGAGAGACAGACTCCGGTAGGATAACAGCTGGAGAGTTTAACACCCCACTTTCAGCCATTGAAACAGATCATTCAGACGGAAAATCAACAAAGTAACATCAGACTTAATCTGCACTATAGACCAAATGAATCTAATAGATATTTACAAAACATTTAATCCAACAGCTGCAGAATACACATTCTTCTCCTTAGCACATAGATCACTCTCAAGGGTATATCAGATGTTAGGCCATAAAACAAGTTTCAAAACATTTTAAAAATGGAAATAATATCAAGTATATTGGAACACAATGGGATAAAACCAGAAGTTAATAACAAGAGTAATTTTGGGAACTATACAAACACAGGAATGTAAACAACATGCTCCTGAACAACCAGTTGGTCAATGAAGAGATTAAGAAGGAAAATGAAAAATTTCTTGAAGCGAATGATGATGGATACACAGTATACTAAAACATATGGGTTACAGCAAAAGCAGTGCTAAGAGGTTAATTTATAGCTCTAAGTTCCTAGAGCCATAAACAAGAAAGCAGTGGCTCAAGCCTATAATCCCAGCACTTTGGGAGGCTGAGGTGGGTGGATCACAAGGTCAAGAGATAGAGACCATTCTGGTCAACATGGTGAAACCCCATCTCTACTAAAAATATAAAAAATTAGCTGGGCATGGTGGTGCGTGCCTGTAATCCCAGCTACTCAGGAGGCTGAGGCAGGAGAATTGCCTGAACCCAGGAGGCAGAGGTTGCGGTGAGCCAAGATTGCGCCATTGCACTCCAGCCTGGGTAACAAGAGCGAAACTCCGTCTCAAAAAAAAAAAAAAACCTTCAAATAAACCACCTGACAATAAATCCTTGAGGCAATGGATATCCCATTTACCTTGATGTAGTTATTACACATTGCATACCTACAACAAAATATCTCATGTAACCCATAAATATGGACATTTACTATGTACTCACAAAAATTAAAAAATAAGAAGCCTGCAGTTAATGAAGTTGAAATGCCAGAAATTCCCTGGAATGCTAGGAAGGAGTCCAGAGACTCAGGGAAGTGGATCTGTTGGAATGGATCTATCTATGTGCAAGCTGCTGAGCCATTCCTGACTGCACTCCCAGGGATCCCCGGGGGGATACACCCTTTAATCAAGGTATTAAGAAATGCTTTGATGAGATGTGGGAGGAGGGCAGGATGCTTGAGAGCTCCAATGTGGCTATTCTTTATAGATCAGTGATTACAGTGGGGTATGCTAAAATCCCTTAGTTCTCAAACTTTTGTGTATATCAGGATCACCTGGAGGGCTTGTTAAAACAGTCTGCTGCTGGTGGTAATTAAAGCGATCATGATGTGGACAGATTCTATTACTGTGTTCCTTTCCATGATGTACCCAAAATATATGAGCAACCCAGTCCCAGAATCCTGTTTGTAAGTTCTATTTTATGGGGCCAATAAGAAAGTGTCCCAACAAGAAATAGATAACACTTTAAATAGAAGGCTTGGAGAAAGGTTTAGTAAAGAAGCTATTTACGAAGATGTAAGTGAAGAGAGACCACAGGGATATTTGTTACTCTGAGGCTATTAAGAACATGAGACAAAATTTTGTCTCATTCTGTAGGATGTCTGTTCACTCTGACGATAGTTTATTTTGCTGGGCAGAGGCTCATTAATTAGATCCCACTGGTGAATTTTGGCTTTTGTTGTAATTGCTTTTGACGTTTTCATCAAGAAATCTTTGCCGGTGCCTATGTCCTGAATGGTATTGCCTAGAATTTCTTCTAGGGTTTTTATAGTTTTGGGTTTTACATTTAAGTCTTTAATTCATCTTGAGTTCATTTTTATATGAGGTATAGGGATGGGGTCCAGTTTCAATGTTCTGCATTTAGCTAGCCAGTTTTCCCAGCACAATTTATTAAACAGGGAATCCTTTCCCCATTGCTTATTTTTGTCAGCTTTATCAAAGATCAGATGGTTATAGATATGTGGTATTATTTCTGAGATCTCTATTCTGTTCCATTGGTCTATGAGTCTTTTTGTACCAGTACCATGCTGTTTTGGTTACTGTAGTCTTGTAGTGTAGTCTGAATTCAGGTAGTGTGATGCCTCCAGTTGTGTTCTTTTTGTTTAAGATTGTCTTGGCTATTCCACTGAAGCCTGTCAGGTGGTGAGAGGAAGGGAGAGCATCAAGATAAATAGCTAATGGAGGTGGAGCTTAATACCTAGGTGATGAGTTCATAGGTGCAGCAAACCACCATGGCACATGTTTACCTATGTAATAGACCTGCACGTCCTGCATATATATCCAGGAACTTAAAATAAAATTTTTTAAAAAGAACGTACTCCTAAATCTAAAAAGAAATGTCAGGTGTTAGCTCACCAAACCTGGATAGGAGAGTCATGACAAGACTACCTTGAAAGAAGTTAAAACCATTGGTTGAGAGATGTATCCGTGTTGAGGAACACAGGGAGACAACAGAGGAAGAAAAACTCAACTCAACATCCAACTCTGTTGTCCTCAGGGGCTCTGTTGTGACTAAACCCAACCAGAAGCTAGAAGGCCAGCAACCTCACTGATGTAACCCACCAAGACTGGGTTCCCAGGGCAGAGAATAGAATAGAAAAGAATGGAATGTGTGTCTGAAGGGACAGCTTGTAATATCCTTTTCTCCTGTGGGTCTTGACACATTTTTGTGTCAAAGGTAGGACGCAAATAAATTGAGTGGTATACAACCTTCTGATATTCTCTTGAAGACATCACACAAAATTGAAATGATCAGTTCCCTGAATGCTTGGAGGAATTCGTTGTTCAAGCCCTTTGAGCCCAGAGAATGTTTTGTGGGAAGATTTTCAATTACTGATTCCATTTATTTAATAGCTTTAGAATGACTTTCTATTTTTTATTTCTTTGTGGACCCTGGTAAGTTAGATTTTTGGGAAATTCATCCATTTCCTCTAAATTAAATTTTTGGCATAAGGTTCTTATTATTTTCTTTTTGGTGAATGTAGGCTCTGCAACTGGTTATATGTATCCTTTTTCTTTTCTTTAGTTTTTTTAGTGTAGGTGGAGCTTAATATCTAGGTGATGGGTTGATAGGTTCATCAAACCACCATGGCACATATTTACCTATGTAACAGCACTGCATGTCTCACAAGAGTTAATTTTCATTGTTTTTCGTTTTCCTGTTGGAGAAAGTAAGCAGAGAACAGCTCCTTGGATGGCTTCCAATGGTGAGTGGCTGGGGCACATTCCTCTCTGGCTCCTTGTGGCCTAGACAGCCAGAAGGAAGCCATGCTGTGCTGCTTCAGCCCTCAGCTTCCCTCTTGCATTTCCTAGAAAAATCTTTGGTCTGCACCTCCAGCTCAGCAGATTCAGGACCCCCCTTCATCATGACTTGTTCATCACCCTGCTCGGGCCAAGGTCCTCTGAGAGTTCTAACCCTCCTCACTCCCTGTAAAAGGCAGGCAGAACAGCCAGAGGAGCAGAGAGACCAAGAAACATTGTGAAATCTCCAACTCTTGCCCTCCAACATGAAAGTCTCTGGAGCACCTCTGTGCCTGCTGCTCCTAACAGCAGCCTTCAGTCCCCAGGGGCTTGCTCAGCCAGGTAAGGCCCCTCTTCCCTTTGTCTCTCCCTTCCTTTCCCTCTGTTTCTCTCTTCTAGGAAGCCCTAAGCCCAGGTGCCCCCACTTTTTTTAAGACAAAGTCTTATTCTATGGCCCAGGTTGGAGTGCAGAGGTGCGATCTCAGCTCACTGCGACCTTCACCTCCCAGGTTCAAGCAATTCTCTTGACTCAGCCTTCTGAGTAGCTGGGAATACAGGCACCTGCCACCACACCCAGCTAATTTTTGTATTTTTGGTAGAGATGGGGTTTCACTATGTGGGCCAGGCTGGTCTTAAACTCCTGACCTCAAATGATCTGCCTGCTTTGGCCTCCCAAAGTGCTGGCATTACAGGCATGAGCCACCGCACCCAGCCATTGCCCCACTTCTAAGCCCACCAGAGCGGTAAGGTTCCCCAGAGGTTGACTTTAACATCTCATTTTAAAGACGGAAAGCTGAAGCCCAGGTTGGGGACAGAAGAGACCCTACGCTGCCACCTCCAGGTTACCCCAGAGCAAGAATGAAACCTAAGCTTCTGACTCCAAATTTAGGGCTTTTCTTTGACTTCACCTGATCATCCCCAACTCTGCAGATCTGAGACCACACACAGGACCTTCTCACTGGCCTTGCCCATGGCCTCCCCTAGATGACAGTGACACGTCCCTACCATGCAGCTGAGAGTTTGAGATCCTGAGGCACATGTCGCAGGTCCCACCTCACCTCAGGGTCTAGGGTGGGAGCACTGGGCCTGGGGTAAGATCCGCTTCTTCCTCTTTGCTTTGCAACCCATACAAATTCTCCTTGTTGCATTCAAGCTGAGAAAAGCCTAAGACATCCTCAAAGCCTTTTCATTTGTAACTTTATTTCTAAGTGCACTCAATGTCCCATCCGTCTGCTGCTTCAAGTTTAGCAGTAAGAAGATCTCCTTGCAGAGGGTGAAGAACTATAGGATCACCAACAGGCGGTGTCCCCAGAAGGCTGTCATATGCTCACCAGGCTCCTCTCCACCCCCACTTCCCCAATCCAAAGTTCTGCCCCAGGAGACAGACATCAGACTGACGAGATCTGACTCAGGATGAGATCTAACCAGAACGTATGATGCAAATCCTCCTATTTTGACTGCTCAACAGGCCGAAAGAGGGTCTATAACTTCCCATGCCCTGCTCCCTGGATGGGCACCAGCCCACAGCCTTTAGCAGATGCCAGGATCAGTTTCCCAGGGCCAGCAAGAGCAGCAGCAGCCTCCAGAGAATGCTTCTGTCCACACACCTCCTACTTCCTGTCCCAGAAGGATGCCCCTTCACCTGTAGCAGGTGGGCCAGGCAGATTTACAGCCCAGTGTGTCATCTCCTGGGTAAACCCTCAAAGAGTTCCATCCTAACAGTGCCAGCTTTCCTTCCTCCACAACTTCAGAACCAAACTTGGCAAGGAGATCTGTGCCGACCCAAAGGAGAAGTGAGTTCAGAATTATATGAAACGCCTGGGCCAGAAAGCTCACACCCTGAAGTCTTGAACTCTGCTACCCACACTGAAACCAAGCCAGAGTATGCGAAATGACTTTTCCATTCTCCTCTGGCCTCCTCATCTATACTTTGGAATATTTCTGCCATCATTTTCAAATAGAATGCATTCTGTTTTGTGATGCAAAATGTACTCTGTGTTAAGTAATATTGACTGTTAATTGAATTGTTGCTGGTTTGGAGTTTGAGTATGGGTGATCTTCTTTAAAGCAAGGCCTTGAGCAAGTTGGTTCCTGTCTGTGGGTTCCCGTGCCTTCCACTGTGAGCCACTGGCAGTGGGTTTCTCTTCTGCTCGCAGGGGTTGAGAGTGTGCCTGTGGACATGAAGGGACATCCCACGGACATAAAGGGATGCTGCAAGGCAGGGAGGAGAACTCTTCACGAATGTCAGGTGTTGCTAAATATGTTATTGTGGAAAGACAAATGCAATAATAGGCCAGCTGACATTTTGCAGAAAATACACTTTATTTAAAATCTCTTACACAGTGATGTTTTCTTCAGGGGTAATTTCCAATCAGCAAGCACTCTCAGAGGGGGCGAATAGAAGGCAAGTGTAGAGACCCTGGCCATGGGGCTAGCCTGGCTCATCTGAGTTCAAGGAGGGCCTGCCTCACCAGCCCAGGCTGTTCTGGAACAAGGGCTCCAGTGCCCAACATGAGCACTCCTGGCTCACAACTCATCAGTCTCATATTTAGTTCATTTCTTCATTTAAAACCACACTCCTGCCCAAAGTAAACCCCTTCCTCCCCTTCTAGTCTCCTGTCCCAATCCATGCCTTCCCAGTGCAAGCAAGTGATTCTGACTTCACATGCCCCTGACTCCCAGAGGGAAACCAGATGACCAAGTCCTAGTGAGCCCCAGGATCAGCAGGGAAGAGGGGACTTTGGCAGAACAGACCTTAGAGGATGGGCAAGTGTCATAGCAAAGATTCTTCCAGGGGAGGTGCAAGATGGTAATGTCGGGAGAGGGTCTTGGGGGGGGAAATATCCCCAAAATGATCTGATTCAGAGTTCCATGGTGTAAAAGTTGGAGACATGTAGAAAGGAAAGTTGAGGACAGGTTCTAGAGGAATTAGAATATCAGAGTGGGGGGTTTAGACTCAGTTCTGAATGCAAGAGGAAGGTGTGAGGTTTTTGAGTCATCCAGAGGGAATGGTGGGTGCCAGGAAGAGTAGCCAGTGGCTGTGAATGAGATGGAGTTGGGAAGGGAAGGCTGAAGACAGCCTACTGCAATTGTCTAAGCAAGAGGAAATAGCGGGTGATGAAGGGCAGTCATGGTGGTAGAGGGGAGGAGGCAGATTAAGAAGACTGGGCCAGATGTGTGACATGTTGAATGGGGAAAGGGAAACACAGCATGAGACCTTCGCCCTCTAAAAGTGACCTTTAGAGGCATGCCAACTCCAAAACCTAGAAGTACATCTTTCCCTGGCTATTCTCTTTGAATCACACTTTGTACAAATTGGAGCTTGTGATTGTCCCTTTAAAGCACCAGGGCCTCCTCTTCCACCGAGGGTTCTCTTGCTCTTCCCAAGACAGCCTCACTCCTCCAGATAAGCTGGGTGGGCATTTCAATCAGACCTGGAACCCACCCATGCCTGGACACCCAAGGAGAGATCGGCACTGCTGACAACAGCAGGGCCTGTTCCCTAGATCTTGTACCACACTGCATCAGGCAGTACACTTGGCAATTTAGGACACCAGGAGTTGTCCTGGGAGGCAACAGCCCTGGGTTCTATCACCAGATCTGCCACCCCCCCACCCCAACTTGCTGCATCTCTCTTTAGCCCTCAGTCACCTCACAGGCAGAGAACCTCACATGATCCCCTTCAGATAGGGCAGCTGTGATTTAGTTATAACATCACCCCCTGAGCCCTCTGGGCAGGGCAGGAAGAAGGAGAGTCCTGCACCCAAATGTGGCCCAGCTGTGAACCCCAGCTTTCTCTTCCACTGCACCACCACTCCCAGTCAAAGTTTACCCCCCAGGACAAAGGCAGCCACTGAGAGGTAGAGAGTCGCTAATTTAGCTCAGTTCCCCTGGCACCAGGTGCAATATGCCTCCCTCCTCCTTCCCCATCCTTCAGCTCCATGGCCACCACCTCTCAATGCCCATCAAGTTTTCACGCTGAAATCCAAGAGACACAGAGGGGCGGGAGTTGATGACTCTATAATTTAAATGTATAAAGTGTGACAACATAGCTTATGAAGACCAAGCTGATCCTCCATGTCCCAGCAAACGTGGGGCTGAAGGAACGATGCAGGGCTGGGGGTTTCAGGGACAAGTGAAGCCATGTGATTTCCAGAGCTCATGATAAAAAGAAATCTGCTTGTTTTCTTTTTGGCGGGCAGTAGCTCAGCTTTTTTATGTACTTCTGAGCCCATTTGTCCGTCTTCAAGGCACAGGCTTCCTTGCCTCCCTTCAGCTTGAATCTGTGAACAGAGAACAAGAGAGAAGGCTGAGACACCCAAGCCACCACTGTGTGGGCACCACACAGGCCCCATCTCTTCCTGCTGCCAGATGCCCTAGGCTGCTCTTGCTGGGCCTTGAGCTCCCCTCTGTAAATGGAGTTGCTGCACAAGATCTGTTGCTTGCACGCCAGAAGAGAGCCAACGCACCAGGAGCTTATGAATTGAGCTTCCTGGACCCCTCTGCTGGTTTCAATTTGTTGTATCAGGGTGGGGCTGAAGACCCTGAAAACATTCTGATGATGAAATGGGATGAAAAATTCCCATCCTAGAATAGCCTAGAATAGCTCTCTTCTCCAGTGTTAATATTTCTATGTCCATCTGGGACCTTACTTGTTGCATTGGACTCGTGTGTGTGTGTGTGTGTGTGTGTGTGTGTGTTTCTCTTTTGATCTTATTTCCTAAACCAGACTATTGTCCAATCTATATATCAACTTTGTCTCTTACTATCTGGGTGATCTTAGACAAATATCTCTGTCTTCCTAAATGTCACTTTTCATGATAACAAAAATGTGCCCCGAGAGGATTGGCAGACATAATACACATGAAAGTGCCTTAAAATGCTGACTGGTTTGAGAAAGCTACACCAGTTAAGTTTATAAAGACCCTGTGATGCCCCTTCACAGATAAGGAATACAGAAGGATACACAGATAATTAGGTATAAAGGAGTTACCTGTCTAAGGTTACCCAAGACTATATGTTCCAAATCCAGAGGCAGGAATTAATCCTGGTTCCCTTGCTCTTTCCACTGCACAATAGTGCTTTTGTTAAAAAATTCCTTCCTCTGAGCCTATAATGCTGTGATATAATACTTGGCACCTTGGAGTTTCAGGAAACACAAGTCGCTGCAGGAGCACAGATGCATCCCTCTTAACACCTGCTAGAAAGCTCAGCGCTCCCCCTAGCGCCCAAGCGCGACTTGCACCCAGGTGTTGGCGGCGCTGGGTTTAGAAACCTTATTCTGGTGAAATACTGCCATCTAGTGTCTACTATTCTAATTCCAGGCTGGCGGGCTTCTGTTCTCTAGGGAAGAGATTGAACAGGCGATCACTTACATGAAACCATCATGGGGGCAGCTGGAGCTGGTGTTTCTGTGACACTGGATTGCCCCCAGGGAAATCTGTTTCCTCATAAATGAGAAGCAACAGCTGGCGAAGGACACATGCACTAGAAGAGAAACACAAATGGTGGTTTGCATCTATTTCTCAACCTCCCACCTGTAGCACAAGTTTTAAAAAGCAAACAAACCAAAAAAACGCTCCCCAGGACAAGCCCTGGCTTGGAGACCACGTCTAGAGGGTGCTGGCATGGCTCTGTATCATCAGCTACCTCGTTGTGGGTCTAGGTGAGAGTCAGAAGATTGGGGTTCAGATCTGAGCTCCCCACACACCAACTGAGTAGCCTTGATGAAAGTGTACCTCCACCCCAGCCCCAGACTTCTCATCTGTAAAATGAGACTTTTTGGAGCCTGGTTTCTAAAAGCTCATCCAGTTTTGGTATTTCACCACACGTGCATGGCTCTGCCCCAATATTCATGTCCAAGGGCTCTGGGCCCTACACCCTGGGGGCCTAGCTAGTCTGATGCAGGACACTGTGGTCCACAGTTCTCAGACATGACCTGGGGAAGATTAGGAATTGTCCAAGGAGTCCAAAGTGATGAGATGACAAGGGAAGAGCTCCCAGGAACTAGCTAGCTCCCTACTCGGCCTATTAAATCCCCTCCCCTCCTGCCCTGGTCCTCCGCTCTTTCTGAGCCTCCAGCTCCCACTCTGTCCATTTGTGCATTCTCCTCCTACACCTCATCCCCTAAGAGACTTGCATTCCAATTCCAGCTTCTTCCTCCTAGTTTTTCTGTTCACAGCCCCTTTCATGACTGTTACTAGGTTGGTATTCTCCAAATAGCCTTGGAGAGTGGACATCATCGCCTCCATTTCACTGGTAGAGAAAGCGGAGTTTGAGAGCTAAAGTGACTTGTCCAAGTGTAGCTGACTGATGGAGCTCTGGTCCTGCCTTCTTACTCTGCTTGGTGTCTGTCACACTGTGGAAGCTACACCCAGGCCCTGCCCTAGACTTCAGGGCTCCCAGCTTTACCTAAGTAACCCCACAGGTTCCCTCCCTTGGGCCTGGATGAAGCAGAGCTGCCTTGTACTGAAACTAGAAGTTCATTTCTCTGTGTTTGCCCCAACTCATGGTTCTCCCACTGGCCCTCACCCCCAGCCCACCCAAGTTCGCCATTCCTCCTCTTTAGATAGGAAGAGGGGAGATAAGACTTGGTGAGGCCTGCTCCAACCCCAGAGTGGCTGACCACGTTTCTACTCTCCCCAGAGAGAAGCTAAGTGATGCCTGCCACACTCACTGCTCTTGCCGTCCACATCTTGTGGCCACATCCCAGCTAGCAGCAGGCACACCAGGGCCATGGCGATGATCTGCATGTCTGGTGGTCTGGCTCGGGCCTTCCTGGAGCAGCCTTGATGAGTCTGGTGAAGCTACAAACTCACCACTGTGCCTTCCTGCAATGCCGAGGGCTTTTATTTTGAGACCAGGTGGAGTTTTCCAGGCCATGGTGGGAGACACAAGTGAGAAGCCACAGGGGCAGGGAACAGTTGCTCACACCCAGTGACCATGTGGTAAACTCCTTTCCCCGCCTCTCCTGGGTGGTATTTGGTGGTGATGGATTGATAGGTGACATTGGGAATTTCCCCAAGTGTGGGAGCCGATAAGAATCTTGACAAAGTGTGTGGGAACTGCCCTGGTTGAGTGGGAAGCTAAGAAAAGTAAGTGAGAGGAAGTGACCCACGTGTGGCTTGTCCACCCCTGCATCCTTCCATCCAGGCATGCAGCTGCTCCCACAGGGCAGAAGAGTCCGGACCTGGACAGAGATACACCTGCATTTGAATCCCAGTTCTGCAGATGAGGGAGGGATTACATAAACTTACCCAAATGCATATCCACACAGAATGCAAATAGCAATACATGTCTCAAGGGCGTGCGATAAGAATTAAATAAGATTCTCTATGTCAAGTGTCTGGCCTAGATAGTTGCTATTTCTGTTTTTTTTCAAGCCTCAACACTTTTCAATAGCTTATTCTGTTCGAGGTCCTTGGGTAGCCCCAGGGAAGGCAGTTACCAATGAGATGCACTGCCTGACCTCGAGCCACTTCTCTTCAACTCACAAATAAACAAGCAAAAACCACCCAGAGCTACTCACTAGCATCTGAGAGTCCTGCCAGGGAATTTTCCCTTTTTGTTTGTTTTCTAGAGTCTCGCTCAGTCACCCAGACTGGAGCACAGTGGTACAAACATACTGTAGCCTCAAAGCGACCCTCCCGCCTCAGCCAGGGAATTTTTGCCTTTTTTTTTTCTCTAGAGTTTCACTCCGTCGCCCAGGCTGGAGTGTAGTGGTGCAAACTCACTGCAGCCTCAGACTCCTGGGCTTAAGCAACCCTCCTGCCTTAGCTTCACAAGTAAGTAAAACAATAGGTATGCACTACCTCACCCAGATAATTATTTTTTATTTTCATAGAGATGGAGTCTCACTGTGTTGCCCAGGTTGGTCTTGAACTCCTAGGTTCAAGCAATCCTTCTGCCTCGGCCTCCCAAAGTGCTGGAATTACAGGTGTGAACCACCACCCCGGCCAGGAGGATGTTCTTTAAGCAACGCCTCCTGTGCACTGGTGTGGAGAGGAGAATGCTAAGTAGAGGCGGGGTCTTGTGTGAGGACGACGAGGCATCAGGGAGCACATTTCATTCCAAGTCAACAGGAAAAGCCGAAGTGTAGGGTGCAAAGAAAATGACAGGAGTGAGAGTGGCTGCAGAGAGATGTGGCTGTATAGCTCCAGAGAAGGCTGGGTCATGAAGACGTGTGCTGTCCTTGGAATAAAGAGCACATAGTAGGTGCTCAAGGAAAAGTAGTGGAGCCAACTCTAGGCATTGAAATCATGAGGCCCATGTGTATCACATGGAGTGACGGCTAGACTGATGTACTCTGATCACTCACTCTCTAGCACAGAACCAAGCAGTGGCTCTGCACCGTCAATTGGATGGAACACCGAGCTACTCATCTGGCCATTTGTGGTTCTTCATGTCGTGCCTCAGAGGATGCCAGCACATTCAGGGAATTGCAATTCCTGACTGCAAGTAACTGTCACTTGCTGTCCTGTCCCTAAGGATTTTGCTCCTGCTGTAACCTCCCCCTGCCGAGCCCACCTCTCTGTCTCCCTCTGTGAAGATCCTACCCATTGCAAATGCCATAGTCTCCACAAAGGCACTTCTGCCATACCCAGCAGATAGGATCTCAGCCTCTTGTAAGAACCCTCGCGCCATATAAAAAGTCTTATATTCATGCAACACTTTCCTTCAGGCCACCCTCCAAACCAACACCTACATGGGAATCTGGCCTGTCCAAGTTGGAAGGGCCCTTCCAGACTGTCTGAAACAGTGGCTCTTAAGGTTTTGCAAAAATCTGAATATCTTAGTCCCATTTCAGAATCAGAATTAAAACACATGTACTCGTATATGTTGGAAAGGAAAAAAAATCTAGGTCATTTTCTCGGACACCAGAAGGTGAGAATCACATATCTAGTATAATCACTTCATATTGTGATGGAAAAATGAGAGGAAAGTGACTTGTCCAAGATCATGTTGACCTCAGGGACGATGGGACCTGAGGCCTGGTCTTTTGACCTTCATGTGCAGCTGTCTCTGAGAACATACTTTTTGCACAGTTCATAGCTAACCTTCTCCACTCAGCCCAACCAAGTACCATTTGTCCCTTCAACTGCTTCCTGCCACCTAAAAAGTGGTTGAAACCACAAACTACTGTTGTCTCTATGCTATTCTCTTTGTCCTTAGTGATGGATAAATACTATGTGCGATTTATCCCACTGTGCGCTATGTATCCATCTTTTTCTTTTAACTTTTAAGTTCCAGGATGCATGTGCTGGATGTGCAGGTTTGTTACATAGGTAAATGTGTGCCACGGTGCTTTACTGCACAGATCAACCCATCATCTAGGTATTAAGCTCCTTAATCCCTTAGCTGGTGCTCCTGGTGCTCTCCCTGCCCTGCAGTCCCCCCAACGGGCCCCACTGTGTGTTGTTCCCACCATGTGTTCATGTGTTCTCACTGTTCTGCTCCCACTTATAAGTGAGAACATGTGGGGTTTGGTTTTCTGTTCCTGTGTTGATTTGTTGAGGAAAATGCCTTTCAGCTCCATCCATGTTTCTGCAAAGGACAAGACCTCATTCATTATGATGGCTACATAGTATTCCATGGCATGCATGTACTGCATTTCCTTTATCCAGACTATTATTGAGGGGCATTTGGGTTGATTCCATGTCTTTGCTATTGTGAAGAGTGCTGCGATGAACATCTGTGTGTCTGTGTCTTTATAACAGAATGGTTTATATTCCTTTGGGTATATGCCCAGTAGTGGGAGTGCTGGGTTGAATGGTATTTCTATGAGAGATGAATCCTTTTTTATTCCTTTACCATGGGGTGTCAGGAGAAAGAGAAGATACAACTGGGTGGTCAGTCAGCTGAATGTAACTGCAGGTCCTTTAGGTGTAGGAAGCAGAGAGGGGAAAATGTGGCCACCTCGGAAATTCTTTGCCCTTCCCCTCCTCCTTGGGTTGCTGCCAAGCCCTGTCAAGAAGGGAAACAGGCTGTCCCTCCACCGCTGGCTTCCCCTCCCCCACGTCACTGTGGCCACAGTCAGACCAGCACAGGCAAAAAGAGAGCAGCAAGACTTAGTCATGCTTTTCCTCTCCAGGCTCCTTCAGCACACGGGAGGAACTGGCTGGAGGCTCTTATCACACAGAAACTTAATCAGTATCTCATCCACTCCAATGTGACTGCCAAGGGCACAGGCTTCTCTAGGCTCCAGTACAAAGGCTAGGACCAAGTCATAACTCAATTAAAGAGTTGTGTAACTGAACAAGCTAGGACAGATGGCATAGGATGGACTGATGTATAAGAGATGCTCTCAGAATAAACACTGAACCAGTTATTCATATGTACACATTTCTTGGTTAGAAATTTGAAAATCAGAACTGCCTGGAGATAGGTTTTCTTAGTCATCTTTTACGAAATAAGTGCTAATTACAGAGGATAGACAGAAACCAGATAGAGTTCAGCCCATGCAGCTGCCTCTTAAGAGATCTCTGGCGGCACCCAGTGATGTCCAAGGGTGTCCGGGAGTGCTCCAGCCCTCTTTCCTCCTCCTAGATGGCCTGAGTGGCCTAGAGCTTGGCCCTGCCTGCTTGGCTTGCAGTTCAGCCTGATCCTTGCAGATCAGGGCACAGAAACTGACAAGGGAGAAGTCATTTGCCCAGGACCATACAACCGCAGAAATACTGGTCTTGCTTTGTCCAGCCCTGGGGTCAAGTGTTCTGAGTTCCCTCACTTAGAGAGGAAGCAAGCTATGGAGGAAAAGCAGGATATTCAGACACAACTGGGTCAGATCTCAGTTCCACCACTTGACCCTGGGCAAGTAACTTATGCTTTCTGAGTCTTTGCTCTTTCTCATAAGCTGCACAGCTAACTAGACTTGGCACAACTCTCCTGATGTTTCTAAGATAAACTCCCCAGGCTGAGGCAGGAGAATCGCTTTAACCCAGGAGGCAGAGGTTGCAGTGAGCCAAGGTTGCACCACTGCACTCCAGCCTGGGTGGCAGAACAAGACTCCAGTCTTAAAAAAAAAGAAAAAAAAAAGATGAACTCCCCAGGCCTTAAACACATTTATTTGAGGTTACCCAAAGGACCAAGTGAGTTTTAAGAGAAGGGAGGGGAGAGGAGAAGAAAAGGTTGGATCATTCAAAATCATTGCAGAGCACCTAATAGGTACCAGACACTGGGGATACTACAGGGGCCAAGACAGACATGGGCCCTGGTATTGGGAATTGCGGTGAGTCAAGGTAAGTGTTTTCAGGAGACAAACAACGCCCTGTGAGCTACAGAGTGTGCAGAAATGCTCACCACAGGGCCGGACACATGGTAGATGCTTCAGTGAAACTGTGTCCTTCTTTCCCCTCCATCCCGGCCCACTCTCAGCTTCAGCACATGAACCCAAGCACTAGCCTCTCCCCAACTGGGGCCACTTCCTGGTCTCTTTCCCTTCTCATGTGGTGCTGCTCGACACCCACACCAAGCCTTGCTTCATTGCCCACATGAGCACAGTGTCCTCTCGGGTCCTCGAGTCTGCACCAGACCCCCTACCTCCTGCAAGCACAAGTTCAAATCCACAGCAAAGGCCCAAGCACCGAAGCAGCTCTGGATTCAAAGTCCTTTCTCATGTTTTCCAGCACCTCCCTACACTCTGCCCACATTCCCTTCTCCCCTATTTTTTCCCCTGACATTCAGCTTTTTTTTAAGAAGGCTTCTCCTATTTACGTCTCAGAAACATTGTGAAGGAGGCACGGAGAACCCCTTGTAGCAATAGGAAAACTGAGGGGTGCCCCAAAGGATGTCACAGGAACCCAGCTTTTCAAGGTGCTGCTGATTCTGACACTAGCATGGCCCACCATGCTCAGGGTGACATGCAACCATCTCAGTTGGCCTCATAGGGTCCTGCCCGGCGCAGAGGGCAGAGTTGCAGCCACACAGTGCAGCTCGCTGCCTGCGCATACACCGACATTTACTGCCCCTTCTGCCTGGAGCACTCTTTGCTACTTTATGTGCCTAACTTCCTGCAGGCTCTCCAACTAGGAGCT